GTTAAATCCCAGTCGGCATCTCCGAAGGAAAGCCGTTGGTCTCCGGTCCATGAGTTGATGGGTCGATAGGTAGGGATCCAGATGTGGGAGCTGTCTTCTTGGCGTCGGTAGCATTGGTACTCAGTACGGAAAACAAGATCGAGGAGAAAACAAATCAAGACTTCAGAGATCTTGTATGATAATGTCAGCCTTTTTACTCCTTATTTCGAAGCATTTATAGCATAACTGAAGGAATTCTTATTTTTGAAGTCTTATGAAGCTTCTTCACTTAACTTCATTAAATTCAAAGAATATCCATTCATCAATGCTTTGAGTCTTATTGAGATCTTATGGGACAAGTTCAGACATTTATTAGAATAATTTTGCTCTGAATTTAAAGCCTTATATTTCCAAATAATATTGATCAACTTCAAAAATCTTATTAGTTAACTTCATAGATCTTACAGGTTAAATCGTCATGACTAACACAGATCTTATTGTGGTCAATTCAATGTTTCTACTTTCATGGTGACACGAACCTTCTTCAAAGACATTATTCGTTAACTGTAGAGATCTTATGGATCAACTTAGAATGCCTAAGGGTTAACCCCGGAGAACTTGCGGAAAACACACGCCTTATGGTTAATTTGGGAAATTTTATAGTTGCACTTCTAGATTGTACTATAGGTTCTAGAGCTTCTTCAGGATGAAGGTTAAATTTACTTATGGCCTTCAAACTATACAGATTAACTAGAGAGTCAGCTCCTAAGGTAAGACCCATTAGATGTCTCTACGAGGATGGCCACTGAACCAGGAAACCGGAAATTAACCAGGTATTGAAATATTGTACCTGGTAACCAAGTTCTATTAATAAATATTCCAAGTTCGATATCTAGAATATTTATCTTAAAATCTTTTCATAATACAGTATACCAACAGTAGTCTGAAAATAAAAAAAATAGCAATGTCCCAGAGTCTGGCATTTTAAATATTTTTGATGACTTTAGAATCTTGAAAACTCACCACACATTTGATGAAATATCGCCATTTCTTGGATGTTTAAAGCACGTTCATAGAGGAAGTTTTAAATCTCACATAACTCACTGTTCTTATTCTTCTTCTTATTCTTATTCTTCTTCTTCGCATTTCAAGCTTATTGCATATCGCATATTAGCTTATTGCGTGCTCTCAACTTAGTGTTCTAGATGCACTTCCACAGTTATTATTAAGCTTTCGATGCCTGTACCATTTTGCATTGGTATAATTGTGTGGCAAGTCCAATCATACTTCTATGCCCAGCGAAGTCGAAGAAATTTTCCAACACGAAAAATTCCTAGACCGGACCGGGAATCGAACCCAGCCAGCTCCAGCATGGTCTTGCTTTGTAGCTGCGCCTTTACCGGCTGAGCTAAGGGAGGCCCCCATACCTCATTGTTTCTTTTCTGAAATGTCTAGCCTTATGATCTTGAACAGTTTTCTAAGACCAGGATCTTGGCATTTGTTCTCAACCGAAGTCTCAGAATCTTAAGAATTTCTGTGCACGGAATCTTGCTAAATTTTCAATGTTTGAAATTACTGAATTATTTCTTAGGAAGGAACTCATATTAGGATATCTTTGCAAATTTGTCAAGAAATTGCTTAGGATCATTCCTTAAAGTCTTCAGAATTACTTTTACTTTCAGGATGCTGCTCAATAATCTTATGATTCTGTCCGGTATTTCCTTGAAGTTTTTTCATGTATGTCGAAAAATTATGTGCAGTACACTTAAGCAATTCCTTCCAGAAATCTCTTGAAATTCAGTCTTAATTTATCTTTGAATTTCCAAAAAATACTGAGTTTTTGTTTAACTTCTCTCCATAATGTTCTTTAGAATTCGCTTTGAATATTAGCAATGTATTCTCCCATAATTTTCCTAAATTTCATCTCAAGGGGAATTTTCCTCGGAATTTTAAAGACATTCTTCTCAAAATGCCCTTAAGAGGATCTCTTGGAATTATCTTGGCATTATTTTGAAACTCTCTTTAGCATTTCCTTGTGTATTGTATTGTATTGGGACACTACTCATATAGTTTCTTTGATAATATGTTCCAAAATTCCTGCTTAAAACTCCCGGAAACTTCTTGAAATTACATCATTTGTAAACATTTTCAATATTCGTTAGCATTGAAATGTTCATAAGTTTCGAACACATCAAGATCCTGAGATTGAAAAACATTATCAGATATAGAAGTTGAAGTTATTTCAAATCACTTTTAAAATTGTATTTTGTATGTAAAATTTGATTATATAATATATTATTTAAGTTGGCCGTATTGAATCTGTTATTAATTGTAATATTTGTTCGCCATACCAAATATAAAATTTTACGTGAAACTGTGTCTCGAAACCTTTCAGCTAGCATTTAAAGCTTAAGAATCTAGAAATGTGAATGACTTTCTATAGGGTTGGTCTTCCGGTGGACTTTTGTATAGCGCTTTTGTTCGAATAATGGTGAATTTCCATATTCAATTAAAAGGTTTAATATTTGCTTAGAAACAAATAAATTTTTACTCAGATTTTGCTCCTTTACACCTAATATATGATTCCTAAATAGAGGAAATTATTGTTTCCTATGGGTTCTACTGTTTTAAAAACACTATTGCAATTATAACAATTTCAATAGGTTTTTTCCGAATAGAAGCATCCATCGGAAACAATGGTTTCCTCTATGATAGGAACGAAAATTAGCGGCATACCACAACTATAACAAAATGGTGCCTATTATTGGATAATGAGCTTAATAATTTATTTCGTAATCAAACAAGTTATAACTGTCCAGTATTTAAATTAACCGGATTAAACTTCAATCACGATGCATAATTTATTTTTAATTTCCTTTATAACTATCACTTTAACCGTGTTTGTAATTATTCAGAAAAACGACTGGAACATCAGGGAATTTATTTTTCATCATTGAGTCGACACCCTGATTTGTTTGAACCGGTTTGTAGACACGGAAAATTAAAGAAATATTGACCTAGAGCGAAGAAACAAGGAATTTTAAGATGAAAATTCAGTTGCCACCCTGAATTCAATTGGAATTGAAACCAGATAGAATAATTCCACAAATATATCTTGAATCAATTCTATAACCATAACATATACAGTTCCGTGAGTATTATTGGTGTTATTCCAAGGTGAATACAGGAGAACCTTCAAGAAAATTTAAAAACAAGTTTTATGAAAGTAATTTTAAGAACCACTTTTAAAAGTTGATTATCCTGGCCAAATATGATCCAAATGCTCCGTAAATTGTATGATGATCCTATAGGGTCGCCCATGATCATATAACATAATTATGATGTTGCCAAGTGGATGTAATATTTAATTAAAAATTACTATTAAAAGACTGTGCGGTATGCGGTTTATTCAAAAATTTAGTAAGGCAGAAATACTGCTGATCCCGATCGACCACCGGATTGTCGACTTGAGAACGACTTGGTGGAAAATGGAAACGGGATCGGGTCAGGTCCACTGAGCTCTTTGAATGCGCTTCAATCGGGATTGCTGAATGACAGAGAATTGGATAATACTGAAAAATGTTGTTTGAATTCCTCTTTAAAAAAATCATGCAATGCTGTAATACAGTACCCGTTCGATTTTGGTAGCAGACGATTTTTTGGTCTGGTTACGTCTGGCATCACAACTATCCGGACAATCTAAAAAAAAATAGAGTTTATGACTTTAAACTGCAGAGCACACACACATATTAATGACATTGGAAACGTGCTGTGTACGCGCAACGGGAACTTCCAAAAGCCTCAATTGATCCAGTACCTTTCCCATTGTATATGTACTACTACCAGTACACACTAATTTTAGATAACTTGCATTGCATGCAACCTATAGTAAACTCAAGATTCCCGGAAGTTTCCCCATCAGCTGCAGAAGCACGTGCTTCATCATTCTCCGTACACAAACGCATTCGCTTTTGCTCGTTCGCCGGTTTGGATATTTTATACAACATCACACAACCGACGGCAACGATCCCATATACTGCAGCAGCAGCGGTGGCAAAAATCCAAACTTGCATCATCACGTGCCCGAGTCCCGTCGTTGTCGTCGTCGTCGTCGTCGTCCCGTTTGAAGTGTTTTCCTTTTTCGATTTACCCATGCCTCGTCCCAACGACGGTGCCGCGTTTCCGAGGTCGTACACCGGCCGCCGCCAACGAATCCACCACGTGCTTCTTCCGTGCGGGTTCTCTCTCTCTCTCTTTCTATATACACAACCGCAGGATGGTATTGCTTATATGCAACTGCTGCACTTGGACGGTACGGAGCGATGCATCCTCGTAGTTTCATGATGTTGCCATCGTCGACCGGAAGAGAAATTCAATTCAAAGTTGATCAGCTGCCGCCCGCCACTACTGGAGGTGGATGCGTAAATGTGCGTATGGCTATCGTCGTCGTTTGGCAAACTCGCATAATCCCGACGTCCGTTGTTAGACACTCCGATACGGTCAGAATGGAGTAATCGTCCGACGGAAGCCGCCCAATGATGATGATTTGTATGCGTGTGGCAGGCAATTGTTTTCAGAATAACTTAGATTAACCACCACCACCCACACCGTTCTCTATCTCTTCACGTGTCGTCGCCCGATTTCTATAAACAAAATCAAACTTCACAATCTCCCGGTTCGGACGTTCGGAGAAACAGACGGAATCGTTTTACTATCGCAAAACAGCTGTGTGCTACGTTTTATGTTGGTCGCAACTAGTATATGTACCTACCGACAACTTCTAAACCATGTGTGCCGTTCCAGGGAATGTGTTTCGGAAAAACATCAGATTCGCCAGTTCGGGGAATCGCTAGTCGAGCATTTTCTCATACATATATGTGCGTCGGCTTACGCACCTGAAAGTTGAATGGACTTTACGTGACGATGAAAGCTGTTGGAATCTGGGCGTGTCCTTGACCCCCCTCTCCGTCAAAACGGGCTGGAACGAGTGCTAATATTTGTTTTTCTCTATTTCTTTTCAGGTGAGTCGCCGCTATCCGGTAGTAATGGTTCGGTCGGAATGTGATATTGACACATTTACACAGCATGGTTCTGGACTTCAAGGAAAGCTCTGGATGCCTCTTTCGGTAACTGTTGATTGTCGGCTTCGATTGGGGTTTGGGGGGGGGGGGACACAGTGAAACATACTTTGCAATATCGCATTGAAAACGATGTAATTCTACATTGAATCGATTGGACAACATAGGCGGGTAACGTGACCGTTTCTGTTTGGTCGTTTTGGAAAACAATTGACGTAATTTGAAATATGTTGACTTACTACCTGGATTGTGATGTCTGTACTAGAGTTGTTGCTTCAACAACCCCGTAAGTGTTGTCAGATGTATGAATTTTTAAATGTACTGTATATCAACGGATCGACTTTAAAATTCTACGGATTTTCCAAATTTTCAAGTGACTAAGTGCTGAAGTGCTATCTATGGATAGACCTCCGTGATAATCTGACAACACTGTTTTTATTCGTCAGTTTTGCAGCCTGTAGATTATGTCTGTGTATTTTTAAGAAGCTATCAGGTGATTGCCATATTACCATACGTGCCGGAGGACACTTAGAATATGAGATTGTTTTTGAATTTCGTCCCATTTTTTTCGACTTTAATCGGGCCGATTTTGCTAGGTCTGTGACCGAGATGAACTTCCTTCGGTGTTTTCGATTCCTATCACAATCAACGATGCTCTCTAATAAACTACTGTTAACACTACCAATTTAATAACATGGTTCTATATTTTAAATTCCCAGTGTCTGAGCTCAAAGTCCCATAAGTTATCGGATCAGTTTTAAGCAACCCAATAATTTTAATGATTTATGAAAATCTCAATTTTATAAAATGATATTTCACGTAATTTCCGATAATTCCAGAATTTATTTTAAATTTCTGAAGCATCTCAGAACTTTTTTGAAGTTCTGAAGCTTATCTGAAACTCTCAGACCTTGCCAGAAGATCTTTGAACGTGTTTGCAGCTAGTTGAACCTAGCAAAATTAGTATGAAGATTTTTGATTATTTTTCCCTTTATTTGAAAATTCAGAATTTCAGAGAACATAAATAAAATAATCATAAATATATTAAAAAACACGTTACATGGAACATCTAGAGATCTACAGCTAATATCACGAGAAGTACAAGCAACATACCTCTATCATAATAAATTGGTGCAACTTGAGTGTGACTACAACTATTCAGTAACAACCCAAGTAAGATTTCAAGTTTTATAGTGGTTTTACAGCATGCTACAAGTCTAAATCATGGTCTACAGAACCCTCATAAAACCAAAATTGTTACTTGGGAAGTGTGTTGCTGCTGCTGCTTCTTCTTCTTCATATTCTTCTTATTAGCATTTGAAGCTTATTGCTGATCGCCCAATTAGCTTATAGCGTGCTGTCACCTTAGTGTTCTAGATGCACTTCCACAGTTATTAATTGAGAGCTTTAGATGCCTGTGCCATTTTTGCATTAGTATATAATTGTGTGGCAAGGGAAGTCGAGAAATTTTCCAACCCGAAACATTCGTAGACCGGACCGGGATTCGGACCCAGCCACCTCCAGCCTGGTCTTCCTTTGTAGATGCGCCTTGGCCGACTGAACTTGGAACGTAAAAAAGTTATGGGAAAACCAATAAAAATACATAGTTGAAGATGCTAATTTCAAATAACAAACTAAAGTGGTAATTTTTATACGATAGATGAGGAGATGAAAGTATAGAGTTGATAGTTCCGTTTAGAGTACGGCAGTGTGAAAATTGCATATAGAAGTAGAAAGCGAGCTAGACAACTTTTAGGAAGGTACAAATCAGTTTTATCATCTCTCTTTACCAAACTCGCCCTTTGGAGAGGGATGGTGAGAGGGGGTCCGGAAAAGATCAGGAAAAATCTGGAGAAGCTTAAGGAAAATCTAGCAAAGCTCAACGAACATCTAAGTTCAGAAAGCATCTAGAGTAGTTCAGAAAACATTTAGAAAGATTCAAGGAACATCTAGAGGCTACCCGGGAATGGGAAATAGCGGAAGGCGCTTTCCGGGAACTTGAAGTTGATTCGTTAGCCCTCTGAATTTGACCCTTTTTAGGTTCCAAAATTTGATTTAGGTGTATGAAATCTCTGTTAATTATTCGTAAACCTCTATGAACTACTGTAACTACTGAACTCATAAGGCATTTAAGGCTTTCGGAATGAATAAGGTGTCCTCAGTTGATCAATAAGATCCTAGAAATAAACTCACAAGGCATGTTGACCGAGTATATCTGAAATCGGTCAATAGACTGAACCTGTGGCCTCTGAAGTTGACTCATATGACCTCTTGAGTTGAGTATTTTAAGTCTAGTGTGAGGAGGACGAATATAATTTAAAAGTTAACTGTTCAAGATGACTAATAAGCCCGCAGAACTAAAACTGTAGGACCTTTCCAGTTTATTTCTAACAGTCAAAAAAAGCTTCTGTAGTTCACCCAAAAGGTATTTTGTGTTGATCCGTAAGGTCGGTAGACATAGCATTTAGTATTCTGGATTTAAGTCGTAAGGGATCATTCACAAATGACGTTGCATTTCTAGGGGAAGGGGAGTTGTGACCAGAGGGGGAGAGGGGCTCTAAAATGTGTCATATGCTAGGTTATAAGGCCATACGGTCGCTGGAATTGACACATAGGTTCATCAAAGTTAAGCTAACTCCGAAGGAATCTAAAATTATGTGGAGATTACCTATAAGATCATAAGTAGAGATGAATATCCAGAAAGTTTGAGATTTGGCCGTTATTACTTTTGTAAACAAACACGCCAATCACCGATTTCTCGCGAATAACAGCTCAAACTCAACTATACTAAATGAATCATTTTTCTAACTGTTTATGTGGTTTGCTTTCGAGATTGAGCTTTAATTCACGATAAATCGGTGATTAACGTGTTTGTTTAGAAAAACAATTACGCCCTAATCTCGAAGGTCACGGATATATAAACTAAACTCATAACTTAACTCAGGAGTCTAATGTTGACTCATGAGTCCTCTACACGGCCGATGAGACTAACACAGAGGGAGAGAGAGAGAGTCATTTCTATTCAGATTTAAAAGAAATTTCTAAAAACAGGGGTTACTCAGAACTGTAAGCTTACCCGGATAAACAAGAACCATAAGAAGCGCCTAATCACCAATTCGGGATATCATCTTAACTTTATATGGTACGGTAGAACTATCTATGATATCGTGAGTGTATGGTACCCATTTATTAGGGTAGTCCGTTAAGCTGGTATGGCCTACGTATTTAATTGATACGATACGATCTTTCATGTTTTCCCATTGTGATTAAGATTACGACTTGACCCCAGTTGGTATCATGTAGGCCTGAGAGGCAAACCATAATGGGACTACCTTCTTAGGTATAACTTTTGGGTATTCCAGTCAGTGGTTGTTTGGAAGGAACCTCCATATTGAACAGGACTTAGCCACTTATTAAGGATTTAGGTGGTGTTCTTAAAATTTCGCATAACTCACTAATACGTCACGCCTTATCCACAGGCTAATTCCATTGACTGGGATCAGTGCTGTAAATACTCAAAATCAATTGAACATTTTTGATGAAAATGAGAAAAGCAGCTATCCGCTATCAAAGGGGACCACCTTCGAATGGGTGATATCAGTTGCTTAGCCATTTGACGAAGGCATGGATCATTCTCATTTGAGAAACGCTTGATATCATTCAATTGAGTGTACATTGATCCGATATCGGATCGACATGTCTGTTTGGGGCCAGTGTGCTGGGTTTCTTCCATATTCCATGGTCGTATATCAAATGATAGTGAGTGACTCAATTGACAGTGACGATGAGGTTCGAAGGGGCTCTTCAAATGATGGGCATTAGATAATTCTTTTTCCCAGATTTGATTGAATGGTTGTATTGGTTCATCTTCAATCGAATGATATGCAAATTTACAGCACTGACTGGGATAGTTTGACAAACTGAAATTCAGTTCTATCAAACTTCATCACTGTTCTTTGAAGGATTACTAGACTTTTATAAAATTGCTTACACATTGTATCTTCTGGAAGTTGTGCCTTTATTTGTTTCAGTGGCGTCGCCCTAACCTCAATTTACCTGTTCAACCACTCGCACTCTCAAAACGTAAACATACAAAACAATATTGGTTCACATGGATACAAAACAGTGAAACTAGAAGACTGTATCCTTTGAAACTGATTTGAAACATGACCCTAAATAACGTTTTCAAAGTTGTTGAACAGGTAAAAAGTGAGGTTACGCGACGCCACTGATATTTACTCCTCACAAAGTGTGAAGTTGGATTCATAATTCACTTTTTTGGGGCTGTTCATAAACTACGTAGACAGGGGGGGTTCAAGAATCCCAAAAAAAAACTGTCTACGTAGTTTATGAACAGGCCCTTTCTAGAAATCATGCGGTGATGTTTTTCAAATGAGAGTGAAAATCACTAAATTCTGGACTAGCTATCCAAGTACGAATTTCAAAAGTGCGGGTTTCGAATCTGCAATCATGGAAGAAATAGTAATTGAGCAATATGTATCTCGTGTGATTCCGTATCTGCTAAGATTGACACTACCGACATAATCGAATAGCTAGGTAGGTAGATGTCTGCTTTCCATTGGAATAACGAACCGGTATCAATTATGTGTTCGGTAAATGGCGCTTAGGTAATCATCAAAGCAAAACAAAACCCAATACCTACCCTGCGATAACTGAATCGTTTAGCAAAACAGATGACACTCGTCCGTGCCGTGCAATCACGACCGACAGTGCCACAGACAGGAATCATCATCATAGAAGGGGAGGAGAAAGACCAAGATATATAAAAAACAAAAACAATCAAATTAAACACGCTTGTAAATAAATCTAGACAGCAAGCACGTGCTCTCCATCATAAATCTTTCTCGGTTAAAAACCCAAAGAGCAAGTATGTCTGTCTATGTACATACGGATTCACCATCATGCTTTTATATACAATCGGGTAACGGGCGCAAATACCACCAATAACAACAACAACAACAACAACAACGGACGACGAAAAAACTAACATCATCATCAACAGCAGCAAAAGTGCCGGCAAGGCAAAA